AAACTAAGTGGCAGTCAGCTTCTCCGTTCACCAAGGAACAACCGCAATCTGGGTAAACCCTGTCCGCCCTCCAACGAACAAGTCTATTACTGGAACAACCCACACCGACTGGGTTCAATAAGAGGCACCTTTTTCTGGAAACATGAGTTTGCAACCTAATTCCTCTTCTTCAAGTCAAAGTCACTCATTTCCCACTGAGCCTGAACTAACTGCAGTATCTTCCCCTTCATTTTCCAGTTCTGGTTTGACTAGACTCATCTCAATCACTCTAAATAAAACCTGTTTAACTTTTCCCTGGTCTCTCTGTTTGGTCTTCTGCATGTGGGTCAGAGCTCTAGATAAAATCATGACAATAAGATGGATGGACGGGTGGGCAGATGGACAGAGGGACGGATGGATTTCATTTGAACATCCAGGAAAGACGATCAGAACGTTTACAAATGTAGGGCTCTTTGTTATCAGAACTGGACATAAGTCAGACACATCCACAACTCCTCTGAGAAAAGTCTGAATCCAAAAGGCTCCATATGGGTCTGATTCACAGGGGATGGACAGAGTAAGAGCCAGGAATGAGGCACCCTATTAAAGCCTAATGACCAACAGCAAATTAAGTAATTTTATTGTTTCCAACATGTGTCAACTATTACTGACAATTTACCTTTGATTTGACTAATGTTTCTCAGTTAGTCTGTATTGTAGGTTTGTGGCCATCATTGGACTCGTTGAGTTTTCCATCGATTCTAGTGCAGATCAAGCAGTTTTTACTGCTCTGATTTAACCAGCTGCTAACAGGTTGATGCAAAAATATATCAGCATTTTAAAGTAACATAACACAGAATGAAAAAAAAAAAAAAATAATGTCGGACTCCGTAATTTTCTCTGGTCCCCTCCCTGATCTGACCAGTGATGACATGTTTAGCCGCATGTCGTCATTCAACCGCTGGTTGTCTAGGTGGTGTCCTGAAAACAACGTGGGCTACATTAATAATTGGCAATCCTTTTGGGGAAAGCCTGGTCTGATTCGGAGAGACGGCATCCATCCCACTTTGGATGGTGCAGCTCTTCTTTCTAGGAATCTGGCCACATTTATTAGTCCTCCAAAACCCTGACCACCCAGAGTGCAGACCAGGAAGCAGAGTTGTAGTTTAACACACATCTCTGCAGCTTCTCTACTGTTACCCACTCTTTACTCCATCCAGACAGTGTCTTGCCCACGACCAAAATCTAATAAATTAGCAAAGATTCCCAAAGGAGTAAATCATGATAATCTAATTAAAATCAAAATAACTCCAATTGGGGAAAAAGTTAAAACAATTAAATGCGGTCTGTTTAACATAAGATCGCTTTCCTCTAAAAGTCTACTAGTTAATGACTTGATTTGTGATAATCACATTGACTTGTTTTGCCTTACAGAAACCTGGCTGCAGCAAGAGGATTATGTGAGCATAAATGAGGCAACTCCTTCAAGCTATTTAAATTTTCACATCCCCAGAAGTTCTGGGCGAGGAGGAGGAGTAGCAACAATCTTCCAGTCTGACTTACTGATTACTCCCAAAACAGTTAATACCTACAACTCTTTTGAACATTTAACCCTTAATTTCCCTGATCCAAATTTCAAGGCAAGAAAACCTCTTCTTTTTGTAACTTTGTATCGTCCACCAGGTCCTTACTCTGAATTTTTAGATGAGTTTTCAGAGTTCCTTTCTGATTTGGTATTAAATACTGACAGGGTCATCATAGTGGGAGATTTTAACATCCATGCTGACATTGAAGGCGATAGCTTAAGAGCAGCCTTTAATGCTATCTTAGACACTATTGGCTTTGTTCAAAATGTGAATAGTCCCACGCATTCTCATCTTCATACTTTGGATCTTGTGCTGACATACGGCATAGAATGTGAAGAAATAACAGTATTTCCTCACAACCCTGTCCTCTCTGACCACTTTCTAATAACCTTCAGGATTACTTTAACAGAGTTCTCCTCCCCCAAAAGAAGGTTCAATTTTAGTAGATCTTTATCAGATAGTGCAGTTATAAATTTTAAAGAATCTGCTTCACTTTCTCTCTCCTCTGTGTCACTGAGCAGTGCTGCAGAGTGCAAAAGCTTAGCTTATTCCCCTTCACAGGTTGATGATTTTGTTGATGGGGTTGCTAGTTCTCTGCGTATTGCCTTAGACAACGCAGCTCCTTTGAAAATGAAAACCATTAAAAATAGAAAGCTTGCTCCTTGGTTTAATGCAGAGCTGCGTACTTTGAAGCAAAATGCTAGGAAACTGGAGAGAAAATATCGCTCCACAGGCCTGCGAGAGTCCTTCCTAGTCTGGAAAAATGGTTTACTGCTGTATAAGAGGACCCTTTGTAAAGCAAGAGCAGCATACTTCTCCTCATTAATAGAGGAGAATAAGAATAATCCTAGATTTCTTTTTAATACAGTTGCCAAACTCACCCAGAGCCATAGCTCTGTTGAACCGTCCATTCCACCTGCTCTTAGCAGCAATGATTTTATGGGATTCTTTATAAATAAGATTGATCTTATTAAAAATAAGATCATAAGCACTCCTCTATCCGCGATTGTACCTGAGGTAGTCATGGAATCTGAACCGGGTTTAGACTGCTTTGATCCAGTTGAACTCTCTGAATTAGCAAAATTATTGTCTTCATCTAAGCCTTCAACTTGTATGTTAGATCCAGTTCCAACCAGGTTATTTAATGAGGTATTCCCTTTGATCTCCTCCTCCATTTTAGATGTGATTAATCTATCTCTGTTACAGGGATATGTACCTAAAGCTTTTAAGGTTGCTGTAATTAAACCTCTGCTTAAGAAACCGTCTCTTGACCCAGATGGCGTGGTCAATTAGACCTATGTCTAATCTTCCTTTCTTATCCAAAATTCTTCAGAAAGTAGTTGCCAAACAAGTTTGCGATCACTTCCACCATAATGAACTTTTTGAAGAGTTTCAGTCTGGCTTTAGAGCTCATCATAGCACTGAAACAGCTCTGGTGAAAGTCACTAATGATATTCTCATGGCCTCAGATAATGGACTTGTATCTGTGCTCGTCCTGTTAGATCTTAGTGCTGCATTTGATACAGTTGACCATAATATTCTTTTAGAAAGACTTGAATATTTTGTTGGAATTAAAGGAACAGCACTAGACTGGTTTAAATCTTATCTATCTGATCGAATTCAGTTTGTTCATGTTAATGATAGATCTTCAACACGCTCAAAGGTTACCTGTGGAGTACCACAGGGATCAGTGCTAGGACCAATTCTCTTTACTTTATACATGCTCCCAATCGGTAGAATGATTAGACAGCATGGGATTAATTTCCACTGTTATGCTGATGATACCCAGCTATATCTGTCTATAAATCCAGATGAAGCCAACCCATTACATAGATTACAGGCATGTCTTGAAGACATAAAAACCTGGATGACTCTTAACTTTCTGCTCCTGAATGCAGACAAAACAGAAGTTATAGTCTTTGGACCAGAGTCTCTGAAAAAGAAACTGATTAGCCAGTCACTTCATTTGGATGGGATTAAACTGATTTCAGATAATAAAGTAAAAAATCTTGGTGTTATTTTTGATCAGGACCTGTCATTTAAATCCCATATCAAAGAGGTTTCTAGAATTTCCTTCTTTCATCTGAGGAACATTGCAAAAATTAGAAATCTCCTGTCCAGGGGTGATGCTGAGAAACTAGTCCATGCATTTGTTACTTCAAGGCTGGACTATTGTAATTCTTTACTATCAGGAAGTCCACAAACTGTAGTTAAAAGCCTTCAGCTGATCCAAAATGCTGCAGCCAGAGTTCTAATGAAAATTAAAAAGAGAGATCATATCTCGCCTATCCTGGCTTCTCTTCATTGGCTTCCTGTTAAATCAAGAATAGAATTTAAAATCCTCCTTCTCACATATAGAGCCTTAAATGGCCAAGCTCCATCTTATATCAGAGATCTGATTGTTCCTTATGTTCCTAACAGAGCACTTCTTCGCTCTCAATCTGCAGGTTTACTAGTGGTTCCTAGAATTTCTAAAAGTAGAATGGGAGGCAGATCTTTTAGTTATCAGGCTCCTCTCCTGTGGAACCAACTACCAGTTTTAGTCCGTGAGGCAGACACCCTGTCTACTTTTAAGGCTAGGCTTAAAACTTTCCTTTTTGATAAAGCTTATAGTTAGGGTGGCTCAGGTTATCCTGAGCTATCTCTATAGTTATGCTGCTATAGGCTTAGACTTTTGGAGGACATAGGGACCCCCATTTCATCATTCTGCTTCATTCTCTCTCTGTTCTCCTATTCTGCAGAATCTGTTAGTTCAATCTCTAACCTTCTGCTCTCTCTGCTTTTCCTCAGAGTAGCTTTGCCTCGTCTGTTCCTGTTTGGCTGTGACTCCATCCTGGAAAGAAACATCAGCTGTGCTGCTTCTATCAACACCCTTGTTTATAGATGTTGGAGATCTGCCTGTTTTCCAGTGTGGTCCTGTTTCTCTGACCGTGACTGAGTGGATGTGCTCTCTTCGTCCTCTGACATGGGAGCTGCCTTGGAGCTTGTCTGCCTGGCTGTGTGTTTCCTGGACGGGGCCGCCTTTTACAGCTGCTTTTTGTATCTCTGCTTCTGTCTCCTTGAACCCCAGTCGGCCTCGGCAGATGGCCGCTCACACTGAGCCTGGTTCTGCTGGAGGTTTCTTCCTGTTAAAAGGGAGTTTTTCCTCTCCACTGTCGCTACAAGCATGCTTAGTGTGAGGGATTGTATTTGAGTCAATGAGTCGATGCAATCAACTGGTTTTCCTTAGATAGAAAACTTTGTATCAATTTGACTGTATGATCTGGTTGAACTGTAAAGTGCCTTGAGATGACATGTGTTGTGAATTTGGCGCTATATAAATAAACTGAATTGAATTGAATAGAATGCATATCCAGTTTAAAAATGTGTAAATTAAACTGATAACTGTGATGTAATTTTGTCATATCTCATTCACAGCTTTAAAAATATTATTACCATAGTTATATCCTGGAGCTGGAGCTTATTCCAAGATCTGGAGAGAGGTTTGCAATATTTAGAACCTTTCTGCAAAGAATTATGATAGTTAAGAACAGAGCTTTGCTTACTGACAGCCATGCATGGTTTGAGGTGATGGTAAGACAGCCAAGGCATCAGGGAGAGTCCCAGTTGGGATGCAGATGTACATCTGGTGAGACGCCATCTAAAAAGGAGAGAAAATGAGCTGTATCAGAACACTGTCCAGACGTAAGGGACTGAACTAATCTCACAGGAAGGCTTTCAGAGCACGTGACAAATGACTTTCATTTTTTTTTTTTCTTCTTTGCTCTGCAGTGAGATTACACAGCAGCATTATTTTCTGAAGGGTCTGGCCCAGAAAGCCACATTCCTCATGTGAGCCTTGCTTCATAATATGCTGAAGAACCTAAAAATGTTCCAAGTGACAGAAGTTGATGTTAAACGTCTCAAGAAAAGACCTGCAGCATTGGTACATAATGCCAACAAAATGCTGAAGCTTAAATTAAGTTACTACAACAAAAAAGAAGGACATTAATTTGCAGAATGCAAAGATAAACTCATGAACACTTTGTGCTTTATTTTGGGCAGAACATATTCTTCCTTTGACTTTTCTGCTGAAATGCACTGCTTGCGTCCGGTTTTACAACCTCCAATCCATTTCTTTTCTGTTTTGGGATTTTTTTATTGTTTTCTATTCTGTTATCTAATTACCTTTATGTGACTACAATGTACTTTTATGTACTATTATTGTTCTTTTTCTTTTCCATGTACAGCAGTTAACATTGTCTTGCTACTGAAGTCTAATATAAATAAACTTGCCTTGCCTTACCAGCATGAAAACACCCAGTTTCACATGCTGCTTTCTGCTACTTAAATAACTTTTGACTTATTATATAACAGGTCCTCTGATCCTGTAGCATTCCAGCTTTATTAACAGTAAATCCTGATTTATTGTGTCAAAAGCTTTTTCTCCTTCAGCAGCAATATTCATTTAATCACATCAGTTGTTTTCCCTCCATTGCCTCCAGTTTGGCGGGTTGTTAATCTTTTTGATCTGAATCCAAACGGATTTATAGTGATTAATGTATATTTTTCTGAGAATGTTACCAGCGTGCTTTTTAACTGTTTCACTAAAACAGCTGAGAATTGTGGTAACAGATATATACATCTATAGTTGGAATATTGATGTTAATATCTGTTTTGTTTTTTTGTTTTTCCTTTGGCTGTTTTCATTTTTGAAATTAATAATTTATAAATGACAAATTGATTCTTTTTAAGAGTGAATATTTTCGACTTATTTCTGCCAAAGATGCAGAACAGAAATTAATAAGATGTGAAGTAATTTCTGGCAGGAGTTAGAAAAGCTGCAAACAGAAGGACTGAAGGCTTCAAATGATCAGAGGAAGTTATTCTTCTGTCCACAGTGGGCTCTCTGGACTAGAGTCCATTAAATTGAATGAATATTGAGTGAAACCTTCAAAGACTAAATTTATCATTCTAATTAAGCCAAACATTTTAATATCTCTATTTCATTCATACCATTTAGCACTGCCTCCTGGAAGGATTAAAGAATCATGTCTTTGAAACATTTGGCTTCCAGTGGGACTTATTTTCTCTCAATATTATCAGGGGATCCTGATCAGTTGTTCTTGAGGCTTCTTGAAGGTCTGTAAATGTTTTGTTTGGACTTCGGCTGTTTTTGGTGTTTTTGAACCCTATTAGATTTGGATGTGTTTATTACAAAGACAGGAGCATATTACAAAAACAGTAGGCCTACTTGTTAATACCCCAGTATATTGCACAACCTAGATTCCATCTGCTTGTTACCATATTTAAAACAAAGATTATTAAACAAGACGAGCAATGTTATGGATAAGGACACAAAACAATAAAACAGCCAGGAGAACACATCTGGCACAGATTACGATCAAAGTAGGTGATGATCTAAAGCCAATAACGGTGAGAACAGTCATCAAACTAAATGTGAGTAAATAATTTATTATTTTCTATTGCTGTTGTTTAATAAAAGTAAGTTTTAAGATCATTTGAGGCGAGAACATTATACTTAAAGCATCCCTATATGGAACATTTACTGATTTAGTGCGTAATTTAAAAAACAATTTCCGAAGTTCAGAGGACCGCGGCAACCAGCAAACCTCCACAGCTAACCACAGCCTGTTTGTGGCAGCCAGGGCTAACGTTAGCCCGTCTGCGGCGGCCATGGCTAACGTTAGCCCGTCTGTGGCGGCCATGGCTAACGTTAGCCCGTCTGCGGCGGCCAGGGCTAATGTTAGGCCGTCTGTGGCGGCCATGGCTGACATTAGCCCGTCTGCGGCGGCCATGGCTAACGTTAGCCCATCTGCGGCGGCCAGGGCTAATGTTAGGCCGTCTGTGGCGGCCCTCTCCCTGCATAAGGACCTGATGGTAAATGGTAAATGACCTGTACTTATATAGCACCTTTATTCAAGTCAGGAGACTTGAACAAAGAGCTTTACACTACATTCATTCACCCATTCACACACACACACACACTGATGGTGGCAAGCTACATTGTAGCCACAGCTGCCCTGGGGCTCACTGACAGAAGTGGGGCTGCCGTACACTTGCGCCACCGGGCCCTCTGACCACCATCAGTAGACAATGCAGGTGAAGTGTCTTGCCCAAGGACACAACGACACTGAAACAGGCTTGAACCGTCAACCCTTCGATTTCAGGGCAAACTCCTACATCCAACGCCACTGTCGCCCCACTATGATGGAGGCCTTTGGTTTTATTTGGAAAAATGTTCATTTGCTTTTTGTTTATATGACTGTGTTCATTATTATTCCCCCAATAAATAGTAGGAATTTATTATTATCTAGAGACTATAGATAACAGGAGGTGAAATGCAGCTCAACAGGCGCTGAGCATGTAGTGATGTCATCAGTCTGTTCCAATTGACCCATATTTGTGCTGCATGCTCGTTCTCCCACAGTTCATACTTTCCTGTGTTTTTCTCAAGAACATAATTAGTGAGGACAGGAGTCCGTACTCGCGTTCTTGTGAATTGAGAAACGGCTCTAGATACAGCAGTGATTATCTGTCCCCTACAGGTCCTGTGTAGGTAGAAAGCGATGCGTCTGCCCAGTAATCAACATGCCCACTTTCTAAATAGATCTTTTAGTACTATATCTACTTAGTGACTGAAACGTTTGCTTTTTTAGATTTTTTTCATTTGCGACAGATCTCAGACTGTTCGACCTTCCAAAGGAAGTTGTTGGGATCTGGAGGTCTGTCCACCTTTCTCCAGCAGAGGGCGCCCTAGGTCTCCTGGAGCTGAAGCTGACACCTGTGGCTCGTTTGCTCATCAGGAGACCAGCATTTAAGGAGAGGCAGAGCAACACTCCAGTGCCAGAGTGTTATGCCAGTTATGGTTAGCAAACCTGAGCCGACCTGCCTGTCTGATTCTCTGACTCCCCTGAAACCTGAACCAGAACCTAACCTGTTTTTGTCCTCTCTGCTTCCTAGGAAGAACCTGTCTGAACCCAGAAACTCAGGAAGAGTTTATCAGTCTGAAACCAGCCTGTCTGATCTCCGAAGAACCCTGGAAAGTCAATCTGTCAGTAACCTGCCTGCCCGCTCTCAGAAGAAACTGTAAGAGAAACTCAGATCAGAAACTGCAATATCAGAAATCAAGTCTCTGCCTCTACCAAGCCCTCTGCCTGCCTTCAGCCTCTGGACCCTCCTGGTTCCCCTCCTCTGCCGCTCAGCTCAAACCACTAAACAGGTACAGACCTGCACTCATTCAACCAGCAAGCATACTTGGACATCAGCTAACCATTCTTTCCCTCTCTGCAGAGAAACCAGTCGTGAACAGTCTTGGACCTGTTTCCCCCCGAATCAGTTCTTTATTAACATTGTGTATCTAAATAAACTGTTGAACTTTTCCCTCTGAGTCCGTGTGTTCTGCATGTGGGTTAGAAACCTTGGTACCAACATGACAGAAGGTTAGTTCAGGGTTCCGTGGGAAATTTGAACGATCACTAGGGAGATACAGAGAAAACGGGACTCACGTTAGTGGAGAAAACCTTCCCAGAATCCAGTCTTGTGTGGGTTAACCAGAGGGAGGAACTCGTTGGAGGGTGGATAGGTTTTCATTTGGTTGGTTCCTGAGGCACCATGGAGCAGACTGTCACTTGGAATCCAGGATGTCTTGAACGGAACTTGTGGAGGTTAATCCCCCGCTCAGTGTGAGACTCAAACAATCCTTCCAGGGGAAGAAGTCCAAAAACATCCATCCTGCAAGATGGCTTCCTGCCGTCAAGATAGTGACAGTCCACCGCTTAAGTAGTCCTCAGTGATGAACCAACCAGCCGCAGGTGTGTGAGAGGACCAACGAGAAGAGGGCACCACCTGGTGGTGGAGGAAAAGAAAGACACAAAAAAAAACACAACCCACACAAACTGGATTCCTAACACCATTTTTTTTATTTTCTTTTTATTTTCACTCATTAGCTACGTTTACATGCGCAAAATTTCCCCGATCCGATCCAAACCTTGGTTGATCGGAAATTCAAAATCTCCGTTTACATGGACACTAAATAAAAATGATCCGATCATGACGTGTGTATACATGTACCAAGCGTTGGATCAGATTAAATCTTTTGGGCATGCGCAGAACTGTAAAACAACAGAAGAAGAAGAAGAAGAAGAGTGTACTTCCGCTTTAGCAGTAGAAGAAGAAACCGGCTTTTTGTAAACAAACTAGTACTTGTCCGCAATTCCTCAACTTTAGCTACTCTTTGTGCCTGCCCCTCACTTCTTTTTCTTCAGTCGTGTTTGTTGATGTCGGTTTTTTTCCATCATGGACCTTCGTCGCATCTTTCTAACAATACTTTTGTTTTTGGTGTTCATTTTAGTTAAGTTAAGGGCTCACCAGTACCTTATGCTAACCCTCCTTCGCTTCAGTGGTAGAGAGCAGGATGGTATGTCCATCCGCACCTTACATTTATTGCCACCTCCTCCGCCAAGGACCAGGAGCCAGTGGATGAAGGTTCGGAGTAAAGACTGGTGGGAGCGTGTGGTGCTCGTGGAGTTCACGGATCGGGAGTGGAAGCAGAACTTCCGAATGAAACGACTATCATTTATGAAGTTGTGCACTTTGATGGAGTCATATGGCCCCAGAGGAGGTGACCGTGAGAAGTCCAGTCCCACTCATCATGCGAGTTGCCATTGTACTTTATAAACTGGGCAGTTCTGCTGAATACAGAATCATCGCAAATCAATTTGGGATAAGTAAGAGCAGCGTGAAAAAGTTTGTATATATGTTCTGCAAAAGTATGATTACGGGGCCCATTAAACAACTGATCCGTGTCCCAACTGATGAGGAGGCGTTGGAGATCGCCAGAGGTTTTGAGGCCTCTCACCACATCCCCCAAATTCTTGGACTCATCGACGGATCGCACATCCCCGTCCTTCCTCCCTCTGATGGATATAAGGATTTCGTCAACAGAAAGGGTTGGCCGTCTTACGTACTGCAAGCTGTTGTGGACAACAACTGTTGGTAGGACATCTATGTACTACTTATTTCATTCAGAAATTCACAAAACAAGACAGATTGCACACACGTGTACACAGGCAGTGCTGTGAAAAAATATTTGTCAGGTGTGAATGCTGCAAAATAATTGTTTTAAAAATAGAAGTATTCAGTTTTCATTAATTAACAAAATACATGGTGAATTAACTGAAGAGAGATTTAAATTAATCTGACTACCCTTTGCCTTCAAAACAGCATTCTTTCCTAAGTATTACGATTTTTACATTTACCACAAAACACATCTGAATGATCTTGATAGTATTACAGCATAATTTTTTGTTTATACTGTATATGTCTGACAGCCCATGTAGGTACAGTTGTCCTCAAAATTATTCATATCCTCCAATTTTAAAAAAGGCTGACTTCACAATAGTACTCAAAATAACAAGAAACTAAATAAACTAATAATATATTTTAAAAAATTACTAAATATAAATTTACTTTCACAAAATATTTCTTTTGAATTGTGATAAAGAAAAAAATAAATAAATAAAACCAACAAAACAGTCCCCGGCACATTAGAGCACCTTTTCCATGAACAGTGGACCAAAATACCTGTCAGCAGGTGTAGAAGTCTTGTTAAACAGCAGAAAACACCTGATTGCAGTGATTGCCTCAAAGTGTTGCTCAAAAATATTTTAGCTTTGTCGCCCCATTAGGCTTGTTTACTTGTTTTATTTTTTGTTTAGTTGTTTTTAATAATTCTTTTGAACCACAATTCAAATTCAGTGTCATAATTTTCATGGATTTGTAATATATTATTACTTTTCTCAATTTAAACTTATTTCACTAACAGCTGAATTTTTTTCCTTCTTTAATTAGAAGGTATGAATAATTTGGAGGAAATCTGTATATAAATATGGTGGTACAGTTTAATTTTATATGCTGTCTTAAGCTATGAAACATCCTGACACCTTCCCCTCTCCCCCCAGTTTCTGGAGCATCAGTTGTAAGATGCCAGGGAGCGCACACGATGCCAATGCCTTGCGCAATTCGGACATCTTTCAAAGGGCCCATCTGTTGCCAAAGGTAAGGACAATAAATTCTGCATTTTTGCTAACAAAGGCAAAATATTTTTTGCAATGTGTACTCTTTTAACCTATTTTAACAAAAGATCTTTGTTTAAACATCTTAATTTGCCTTTTTTTTCACTTCATCCTTGAAGTAAAATTATATGAAACTGCAATAGAATCAGTTAGTCACAATAACTTGTCCTTGTACCTCTTTTTCAGTGCGTGAAGAACATCGAAGGCAAAGACATCAACCTCTTTATTGTTGGTGACCCGGCATACCCCCTTCTTGACTGGCTTATTAAAGCATACCCCAACTCTCCTCGTCTGACTCCTCAACAACAGTCATTTAATGTGTACCTTAGCTCAGTCAGGGTGGGGGTAGAAATGACATTTGGATTGTTGAAGTCAAGGTGGAGAATCCTTCTAAAAAGAAGTGATTTTCACTTTAGCTTTGCTCCTACAATGATTGCTACCTGCTGTGGGCTCCACAACTTCTGTCAAAGGGAGGGAGATTATGCCAACAACAGCTGGCTGGAGGAGGGTCGTGACCATGCGAACAACTATCCTCAGCCTAACCAGCCAGCTGACCCCCAGTGCAGTAGTGATGGAACCAGTGTGAGAGAGGCTTTGACAACTTACATGGCCACCCACTTTCCGCTCCGCACAGGTCACCTGCATTAAATATTTGGATGTCTTCTTTATTGCATATTTTTTATAGTTAAGCATATAACAGGTTAAGTATACTATAGCTGGTATTTTGATTTTGTGTCAAAACAATCCAGATTGTCCTTATTTGTAATTGATTTATGAAGCACAAGGAAAAACTTGACATTTTAATTTGTTTTCAAGGGCTTTTTTTGTGCAGTTAAGTTCAGCATAGTATAGGATGAGTGGAGGATCATATTTTGATATTTGCTTTGGAATAATTCTGGTAGTCCTTGTTTTTAATTGATCACATCTTGTAGGTTCATCAGATGTTTACGAAGCACAGGGAAGATACTTGTGATATATTTTTTATATTGATTTAAAAAGTTATTTTATATGCAGTTAAGCATATTGATTTAGTAAAGCTGAAACGTTAACAGATTGTCTTAGAAAATGTAAAAACAATAATCTTTCAATGCTCTTTAATAAACCAGATATTTTCATACATTCAACAGACATTTTTGTATAATTAAACTTGTTAGTACTCTACAGTGCTAGTGCAGTGCAAAAGAAAATGGCAAGACTTGCCATGGCACATAAAAAAGTGCAAGTTTAACATTTGTGCAGTCAGTGCAAAACAGAACATGTGCCCATAGAGCTTCACCATTTTTCAATAAACATGTAAATACAAACT